TTTGTTTTTTTTTCGTTTTTTTATTTTTTTTTTGTTTTATAGATTAGATAACACACGCGTTTTTCTTGTTGTTGTTGCAAATTTGTTGCAAACACCTAGTTTAGGTTAAGGTTTTAATGTGTTTCGTTAGCTTCTTATTTTGCTTTGATTTTAATTTTGATTTTGATTTTGATTCGACTGTAATTTTAAGCAAATTGATTTTTTTTTTCGCACAGTTTTTGCAATGAAAATTTGGTGATTGCAATTGAAATTGACTCAAGCTACGTTTTTGCACATTTTCGTTGCCCAAAAACAAATACAGGCGATGAACAACAAAAAGGAGAGAAAAGAGTTGTTGCTTCAATTTGTTGCTTGATTGTTGCTAGGTTGTGTTGTTAATGTGTTGCTTGTGTTGCTGTTGTCGGCGAGTCGGCGAGTTTTTATCTACTAGATAGCTCACGGGGCGCACACGCCGTGTATATGGGCTCTGGCTGCTGCGCCGCTGCTGGCTCGCTGCGAGACTCTGTGTATGTGTGTGCGATGACGACGACGACGTACGTGCGTGTGTGTGTGTGTTTGTGTATGTTGTGCGGTTACGATCGTTTCAGAAAATAATGTCCACACGGTATCGGTCGGTGGAATAAATAAACTAAAACCCAACGAGCGCAAACGATGACAGCAGCGACTGCGACAGCGACAGCGACGCTGGCAGCGGCAGAGCGCCGAGAGTGCACGATCTGAGAGCGAGCGCAGGCGAGAGCGAGCGAGAGAGAGCGAGAGCGACGTGCGCATAAGCAGCGCAGACAGGCAGGCAGGCACGCAGCCGATGAGTTGAGTGCAAAGAACGAGAGCGCGCCTGAGAGAGAGTTGCGCACCGTGAGAGAGAGCAACAAAGTTGCTGCTGCTGCTGCTGCTGCTGTCGTCGTCGTCGCCTTTGGAGGTTGTTGTTGCTGTCGTGATTCGTATTTGCGCATTCGTGCGGCGCTCGGCTGTTGTCGTCGTGTTTGCTGCTAGCGGTTTGGCAGCAGCAGCAGCGCAATTTTCTTTTGCTGCTGTTCTTGTTGTTGTTGTTGTTGTTGTTGTTGCTATTGTTTGCAAAGCCTGCGCCTTGCTGCTGCTGCTGCTGCTGCTGAGTCGCGTGTCGCCGAGATGTTTGCCCGATGACGAACGATGCAAAGTTGAATGAGCGCCGCAGCGCTGCCAGCCCAGCAACAGCAACAGCAGCGCATGCGTGCGTGCGTGTTGGCTGGCTGGCATATCCCACTCCTTCCCCCCGCTACGCAACATGTAACCAAAGCATTGAGCTGCTGCAACATGCTGCCAGCCGCTCGCCCCGCTTGAGCAATCAACCACCTGACCGACCGACTGGCTACCTACCTATCTACCTAGCGGCTGCTTGTGCAAATTGCGTTGACTGCGCGTGGGCGTGAGCGACGGAAGGCGAACATAATGTGGGCTGCGGCCATGCCCAGCGCAGCGGCAGGGAGACTGGCTGCATAGCGCATCCTTTTTGAGCCAATCGCAGGCTAGCAACATTTGCCGAACAGCAGCAACAACAAATCGGAAAAACGAATAAAAGGATGTGGGAGAGGGAGAATTGCGCACCTACGCCTTCCCGTAAACATTACTCTCCCTATGTATGCGAGTGTGAGTGAGAGTGTCTATGCTTAGTTATTATGATAAGATTAGTTAGTATAATACAGCGCAATAGAGAGAGAGAGAGAGAGAGAGAGAGAGCGAGAGAGAGAGATAGAGAAACCTCGAGAAAGGGAGAGAGAGAGAGTGGGGGAATAATTTCGCTTGCTGTTTTGTTTTGTTTTTGGTCTAAGATCTAGGCTCGATAGACCGATCACCCGCTTACCCGCTTACCCGATTACCCAGTTAGCTATTTAGTTTGTTTACCTTTTTGCTGCTATCATATTACGAGGGTCGGGGCTTCGTATCATATCTATAACATTATATATATGTATGTACTATATATGGAGCATTCAGCAGTTGATATAGTTGCTGCATGCAGTAATACCACGCTATAGTGAACAATCTGCGCAGTTTATGATACTTAAATACAAATAAATATTAATAATCCAAAATTAATTGGTTTGAATTTGTATAATTTCTTATATATTTCATCTTCAAGTGTTTCGAAAATGAAAAACAATTTCGAAAATGGCAAAAATGCTTGAAAATATAAATCTATAGCGAGAACTTAAGGAATTTAAAATTATTATTATTATTTTTTTTTGTATTTCTTTATTTTCCTATATAAATTATGAATTTGTCTAGAATATTGAACAAGAAAATCCAAATACATAAATTTTGTATA